TGATTTTTGTTGTAGTATGAGCAAGTCTGAGCATTGTAAAGTGGATATCTAAAGATTACCTCATGGTTTGTAGTTAATTTTACACATGTATGTTCACGAACACAACCTTGAATCGCCTTGGCTTTGGGATGCTAACCGTGGTCTCAAACAGTTATAGTTTGATTGGCTGCATTATTTTGTTGATTAGCTCCAGTCGTGACAAATAGCTTGGTCTTTATCCAGTCAAATATTGTCGGTAAAAAAGTACTCTAAAGGCATTAGATCCAGACTTGATTGTAGAATATCGGGCCACTCATTTGCATTTCATTAAATTTGAATTGTTTCTTCTGTTTCTATACGACGATAAAGTTGACAGTTACTTGTGATAACACATTGTTCATGGCTAGTCTTACACAACTCGTTTCGTCCCAGCCAAGGGACTCATCAGAGACCTTTCTGCTTGGCAAACTCGTTGGGCATCGCGCCCAAAGTCCCGTTCGCTAACAAAATGACGACAGCAATCTCGCCTTACATGTATATCGCATAAGGATTCCCGACCGCACAAATTCACGAGTGAAAATTGACAACTGTCAACTATATTGTCAATTTTCACTCATGAATTTGTGCGATGAAACGAGCTGCGCAAGACTAGCCACGAACAATGTATTATCACAAATGTTTCTATACGCTTCGTTTTTAGAAGCATTGAGGGATATGTTAATAACTAGCCTGGTGTTGTAAAGTCGCTCATTGGAATCAGTCGTACAGAGTTTGTTTACAACAAACGCACACGCTATTGTAACTGATTGTTTAAATTTGTGCTTCCAGCTTAGAATAATGTACGTAAAAAATATACTGTTACAAATAAGGTTTTATGCTTAAACATTAATAGTTTATGTGAAAATATTTAACACGAAATTAGAAGCCTAATGTAAATATTTGTGAGTCTATGGAAACAGGTGCCGTCACGCATTGTATCAACAAATTGTATTTTATGGAGCTGACTGGCATGGACTTTGACACTATGATATATGATTTTATCAGTCTGTAAAACCTCCGTTGTTGATAAAAAGAATTAATGTTGATTTTAGCAATAAACACAGGTTGAAAGTCAGCTAGTGAAATCATAAGGTTAATATATATTAATGTGACGGCGTCGAACGCACTCATAATCTTTGACTACTACTAGTGAACAATGTACTGCAGCTGACTTAAGGTTGGTGAAGACTAATGTAAACACTCCTTCAGGATGGTCGAGTAGGCCTCAAGAATCAGGCAAGAAAGTAAGTCTGGTAAGGTTGGACTTTATGCTCCAAGCCACAGTAGTCAAGTTTGAAACAGTTACTTGCCTAGTGGCTGTAAACAAACCTGAAAAGATGTCAAACACTGTTAGTAGAAGTATATATTTAATAAAGATATTGCAAGATTTTCTCACCCGAGTAACTGATATTATTGAGCTTTTTTGGTCACACTTTACAGCAGCCATTCTGGTATTTTCCATGATAGAATCTGAAATGAAATTGTAAAGCAAATAAAATATTTCAAAATTCATTCAGAATGCAAAGGAAATGTATTTACTGCACAAGGCAACAGTTCTAAAAGCCAGAGGAATTAGCTTGTAAACACCAAAATTACTCCCTGCCATTCAAGTGCTTTAGTGACAGCTGTGTATCACATGTGCTCATCACTAATGGAAAATAAATATACAGTGACAATCAATAATACAATAGACAGAGAATCAATCATTCAAAGTGATATGCCAGCACTTTTTTCTATCTCTTTGGTTATGTAAACTTTATTTCTCTGTGTGAAATGTGTTGCAATTTAGGAATGTTTATAAAAAAAAAAATTACCAATGAAATATTATTAAGGGACAGTGCCATGGCCTGTGCATGTGTGATTGCATTCTCATTTTGGCTTGATGATTTCTC